GGGAGGAGCTGGGTATGAAGAAATGTAGGCACTATCTTAAAAACATCTCTCTCTCTTTCTCAGTGTGTGTGTATGTGTGTGTGTGTGTGTGTGTGTGAGAGAGAGAGAGAGAGAGAGAGAGAGAGAGAGAGAGAGAGAGAGAATGAATGTGTGTCTATATGTATAGGGCATCCATGCACCACAGTATGCATCTGGAAACCAGAGAACAAGTTGCTAAGGTTCACTCCTTCCACTAAGTGGGTCGTCAGGTCATCAGGCCTAGCAGAAAATGCCTTTACTTGTAGAGTACCTCCATGGCCCTGTAAACAGAGATTGTGCTTTTGTTTCCTGGCCACCCAGACCTGAATAAGAAACTATATCACACAGAAACTATATTAATTATCACACTATTTAGCCAATAGCTCTGGCCTATTCCTGACTAGCTCTTACATCTTTTTTGTTGTTGTTGTTTCTCTGTAGGTTTCTCTGTAGCTTTCTTTGGAGCCTCTCCTGGAACTAGTTCTTGTAGACCAGGCTGGCCTCGAACTCACAGAGATCTGCCTGCCTCTGCCTGCCTCCCAAGTGCTGGATTAAAGGTGTGCACCACCACCACCCAGTTTAGCTCTTACATCTTAATGTAACCCATTTCTATTAATCCACGTATCACCACGAGGCTGTGGCTTACCGGTAATGTTCTGGCATCTTTCTCCCTAGGTGGCTACATGGCATCTCCTTGACTCTGCCTACTCTCTATCTCTGTTCAGATCTCCTGCCTGGTTTTACTCTGCTAAGTCATTGGCCAAAACAGCTTTCGTCATCAACCAGCAAGTGTAACACATATACAGAAGGACATCCCGTATCACTTAGGTCTGCTCTCAAGCTAAGCCTGCCCCCTTTAGTTGTGCATTGTCATGAAAGAAGTATCAATTTAGTATTCCTGCTGTCAGAGATTTGCTAATGCCAATGAAAATCATTGCCCACACCCCTCATGGGTCCTCTCTACTTTTTGTCTCAGGGACCCCCCCTGCCACACCTCACCACTGCCTTTTTCCTACAGGATCCCTGAAGGGTACACCAGGTATATCAGTGAGGTAATGTTCCTTTACCTCTAAGCTGATTGTCCCGTTGTGCCAAGCACTGTGTATTCCTTCCTGGGCCAATTCCTTGTTCCACAAATATCTATCCTCTAGGAGATGGCCACAAACTAGAGGGGAAAGGCCCATATTTCCACTCATATGTATGTTGTATTTGGCCTGCTCAGTATTTGAATATCTACACCTGAATATCTACAGTCATGTACCACACAGTGACATTTCAATCAATGTCAACCCGCATCTGCAGGTGGTGTTCCATACATTATAACGAAGCGAAAAAATTCCTATTACCATCTTTGAGAAAGTGTATGTTCTATATTTGCATAGTGATGGAATTGCCTGATGATAAATTTAATGGATCATATCTCATTAAGCAGTTCATGTGTACATGTGCATGCGTGTGTGTGTGTGTGTGTGTGTGTGTGTGTGTGTGTGTGTGTGTATGTCTAGACACTTAAATTTAGCAGGTGGCTAGAAGAAGAGGCCAGTTCCTCTGGTCTTTTCATTTCTTGAAGCTTGTGGTTATCTCATCTGGGTCTACTTTGCTCTCTTTCCCTTTGTGCTCAACAGCTCCAGGTGTTTGAAAGGTCAGGTCTCACTTGAAGTAACCGTGGGGATCTGGTCCACTGAGAATAGGCAGCTGAACCACACAGGGTGCTGGCTTCCTGCCCATCTTCCTCATCCTTGCTCCTTGCAGGTTGTATTTCTCTAGAGAGAAATGAATGACTTCTTGTAGAAGATCTTCCAAAAACCAACTCACTTATTCCCCAAACAGAGATCAATCACCCATAATTAGCTTGTACTATATAAAAAATCACCAGCTCATCTTCTCTTTGTCCTACAGTGATGCCAACCTTGCTCAGTCCAGCCTAGAAATGGGATCCTGGCTTAGTCATTAGGAAAACAACGATTGTCAGCTTTGGTTACAAGGTAGAATTGGGGAAAAAATCCTTCTAGGATCTGACCCATGATAATTAAATTCCAATCTTTGAGTATGGGGGCAGGTGTAAAGATATTTCAACTGTCTATGTAACCTGCTGGATAATTGCAGCTCTAGAATATTCCAGAGGGTCCAAAAAAAGAGGCCCAAAGAGCATTTGCTGAACCATATTACTGCTAATGGTATTGCTTCCTGGTTTTGAAGAAGTGTGAAGAACCCAGAATGTCCATGTAACTGCAGTTACTTCATGCAGTACATTGGCTTCATAAAAACCAAGGCGTTTAGATGGGGCATTGTGGTGTATACTTTTAGCCCCAGCAGGCAGAGTTGGGTGGTTCTCTGTGAGTTTGAGGCCAGCCTGGTTTACAGAGTGAGTTCCAGGACAGCCTGGTCTACAGAGTGAGTTCCAGGACAGCCTGGTCTACAGAGTGAGTTCCAGGACAGCCAGGACTACAGAGTGAAGTGTTTCCAAACAACAAGCTTCTCTGCTTCCTCTACATGGCCATTATACTCAAGGCATGTGGCGCCATCTCGGCCAATTACAAAGTCGCTGCCTTGACCTTGAGAACTGATGATGAGGATTTGTAGAGTTATCTCTGCTCAGGCCGCAGAAGAGCCACATGCGGCACTAGAGAGAGCCACAGCAAACTGGAATGGGTGCAGAGATGTGGCCCTGGACACTTACTGAGGAGTGCACACCACAACACAGTATGCAACTTGGTCATTAAACTGCTGTTCCCACACAGGACAGTTAAGGGAATCACACTGTGACAGCTACGGTCCTCTGTGTTCTATTAACCAAAGGCTTTCCTTTTTTTTTTCTTTTGCTTCAACGTGCATATTTTTAAAAATAGAGCTAAATAGATTTTACAGTGAGAGAAAATGGTCCATACTATCTTGGGAGTGATGATAATATGTAAAAATCCAGGTCTAATTATGTTGACTCAACTCTGTAAATACACTAAAAGGCAGGGAATCGTGCTTTAAACTTACATCTCAATAATGCAGCTCTTTAAAAAGTATTACAAGGGTAGAAAAAAATAACTGGAAGATTTCTACCCCATTCAGAACACGGGGCCTGCATGTCTCAGCAAAGAAGCCGCCTTTGCGTGTGTGGGTGGCACAGGACGCTGCCCTGGGACGTGAATGACTTGCTCAGATGGTATCGGTAGAGGTGCCTGTGAAGGTTGAATGGGCAGTCTACTGTCATTGGAATGGAGAGGGCTGAGAGCAGCTCTGCAGAGATGGTAGCAAAATGGAAGAAAGGCACCCGTTCTATTGGGAAAGAGGCAGAAGCTGCTGTCCGGGGAGAGCCTCTTGCAGAGAACAAGACTTCTAGAGGCAGCTGAGATGGAACACTTTACTTGTTCCTGGCAGGGAATGGCAGAATACGTGTGTGTGTGTGTGTGTGTGTGTGTGTGTGTGTGTGTGTGTGTGCACGCACACACGCGCGCTTCGTCACCACTCCATTTTGCCACTCTCTCCCCAGGCTCCTAGATAGAGTTTTCTGACAGCTCTCCTCAACCAGCTTGATGTAGAATTTGCTTGTCTGTTTCAGGGGCATCCATCATGCTAGGTATATTGAATAGGTTCAAAAGAAACAGGGTGTGTTGCCTTTACGTGTTCAGGCACTAGGAGAATTCCTGGAGGCCTGGGACTTCACGAATTGACCCAGGCTTGAAGTTCTGAAGCACTTTTAGAAAATGGTTAAAATATACAGAGAGTAAGGGCAAGGCACCCAGCCCTATGGGATCTGCTGCCCTCAAGCTTCTCCTTCAAGGGGCATGTCTACACATCCACATACGATGCTGACACTGCAGAAGACACAGGAATCAACGCAACACTGTCTTTGGCATGGAAAGGCTTTGCACCCATGGGAATAGCATCAGAGAAATCCCCCAAAGCCTCAATCAACCAGGCCATCAGAGAGGTCCAGCCAAGGCACTGGGCTCCCAAGAGGTTCAGGAAAGGAAGCACAGCTGGACAGTCCATGAAAGGCCAAATGACAGGGAGAGACAGCTGTTTAACACTCCTGAGGCTGGGTGGGGGAGGAGTCTCATTGGCTGGGAGAGCAGGGCTAGGGAGGCCTGTGGGGAGGAGTTCAAGGGATGCTCTGGAGAGACACCAAGCAGGAAGGTGCCTGGTGAACCCTGTAGGCCACAGGCAAACATCTGGTAGCGGTCCACACTTGGGTCAGTCCTCTGCAGAGGGTGGTCCGCTGTTCCCCGTGGGAGAGGGTCAACCTATTTCCTGCTCTGGTTTCAACCCAAGGAGCAGCAACATGTACACCTGGAGAAGGCGCTCTATGACATTGTGGCTTTAAGAACCTTGCAGTCTGGGAGCAGTGGGGAGAAAGGCCAAGAGGAGATTGGCTAGAGACTTAAAACCACAGTACATGGCATGCCCCGGAGAAAGGATACAACCCTACAAGCGCTCTGAAGGAACTCCACCGAGCCTGAAGGCTTCACAGAGACAGACCACAGGCCCTCTTCATCTCTGCATGGGCGAAGTTTAGTCTGATGCCTGGCCTGCATGTTCAGTAGTCGAATGCATGCACACACGATGAATGAATGAGCACATCTCCCCCGTGTTACCTGCCCAGGATATCCGTGACAACTTCCCACAGCACTGTGCAGCTTTGAGTTCGTACTGTTATTCCCCGCTCCCACCTCTGTTTTGCTCACCTCAATCCTTCCTCCCTGACAACTCCAGCCCACACTCCTCCCAGACTCTGATTCAGAGTCTGTGCTGCATAATTTAAATGTCCTGTCTTCCTCGCAGCTGCTTCCTGGGCATTTAGATGATCATATGCCCCACAACACTGAGAATGTATTGCCTGTGGGTGCTGTTACCGGCTTGGGGATGTCACAGAGTGTCAGGCACAGGGTTGGTGCTGGGTACACAGTCGCAGAGAGTCCGGTGAGGGGAAAGCCGAGAGACAGACCAGTTGTTCTGTGAGAAAGCCTTTGACACAGACACTCTGAACCTTCTGAGGAAGAAGAGTGTTTTTACTGCAGTATGGGGGGATGGATGTGAAATTAAGCACCTGACTGGATTGTCTCCATGGGCCAAGAACCCTCCTTCAGAGAGGCATCATCTCCAGGAAGCTAGGCTTCAGGATGAGACAGTCTTCCCCCGAGGAGTGACGGGCAGAGTCCATTCTCAGTGTCATTAGAATGACAGAGAAGAAGGGACACTTTGGGGGGCAGTGTGTGAGTGGAACTGTTGTCTTCCTCTTTTGTTTCATGATCTGCTGGTCTGAGAAGAAGAGCTGACTGCAAGGAGACCCATGCACCTGTTGGGAAATAAGGCAGATTCTCACTATATCCAGTCAATTTCCCCAAGACTTGTGCATCCCACGGTCAGATCATGACCCCAAACCCTTGCAACCCTATCCAGTCAAAGGCTGACACGGTGCCTTCTGCGCCAGCCTGGGTGCTCCTTGCAGTGATTAATGCTTCCAGCAGTGATTAGGGCCGCTTTCCCTCACCAGGTTGGGTGTCAAGTCCAACAGTTTCTCTGGCTCTCCTGATTGAAAGTGCTCGACACACACACGAATAACAACTAGCTTCACACGGTAATGTATTTTCTCCACACATTTCCCACTTAAGCCTCACAGCGGTCTTGAGAAGCAGGTACGGTGATTAACTACCATTTTCCACGAAACCTCTCGCTCCGAGATATTAAACGGCATACCCGATGGCATTCTGGCAAGGAGAAAAAAAAAGTCAGATTCATTTCTTTCCTTCTTGAAAGAAATGCCTGCTTAGTGCCCATCCTCCCCTATACAAATCGTATCCCATGAAGAATGTACACCATACTATTTCAGAGTCAGGCAGACTATGTGTAAGTTGAGTATACGGTGACTAAATGTATGCATTATATAGTGGATGCTGTGTATGGACTGAGTGGAAAGGACACGCGTTAACTGAAGGGGGAGGAGCATCTCATTCACTCACCCGGAGTCTAGTGGGTGGGTGCAGGGCTCTGGAAACCAAGACGCGTCTGATTTGCCCTCTGATGGCTTACAGTCCACCGTAAGGGACAAATCTAAAACAACTGCTATTACAATACAATAACCAGGAGTTTGTTAAGTGCTACTGAAAAGGTGTAGCGGGGAGCTCTACTCTAGTCCGAAGTTGGAGCGACTCCCAGGGTGGGAAGTCTGGCCTCTTTGGGCCAGGGAAGGACACTTTTAGGCAGAATCTCCAAGGAGACGTCAAGACTGAAGCGCGAAAAAAAGAAGAAAATTATTTCTTCCGAATAGAACTTCACCTAGATGACTGCAGGAATGAAAAAGTAGAGGTAAGAGAAAAACCAGAAGCTAATTTATGTAAACGGGTTTGGGAATACCCGCGGACAGTGCCTACGGAGTTGAACGCGGTAGGAGTGAAGGGGTTAAAGAGGGCGGTCCGCAGCGGCCCGGTAGTCCCGCCCACCCGCCATGGGGGCGGGGCT